GGGATGGTAGTCGGAAGGAGGGATAGGGGAGGTCGGAGGCGATGGATGGGTACGGGGAGAGATCGGGATGGGAGTCAGGATAGAGAAGGGGGAAGGAGGTATAGGGGAGGTCGGCGACGGAAGGGAAGGAGGGAGAGGTCGGGATGGGAGACAGGTTGGGATCATGCCGGAATAGAGGAGGGGGGCGGGAAAAAAGGGAAGGGGGGAGAGGTCGGGATGGGAGTTGGGATAGGGGAAAGGGAGAGGCGATGGAGGGAGAGGTCGGCGAAGGAAGGGAAAGGGGGAGTGGTCGGGATGGGAGTCGGGATAGAGAAGGAGGGCAAGAAAGAAGGGGGGGGATGGGAGTCAGGATAGAGAAGGGGGAAGGAGGTATAGGGGAGGTCGGCGACGGAAGGGAAGGAGGGAGAGGTCAGGATGGGAGACAGGTTGGGACCATGCCGGAATAGAGGAGGGGGGCGGGAAAGAAGGGCAGGGGGGAGAGGTCGGGATGGGAGTTGGGATAGGGGAGAGGGAGAGGCGATGGAGGGAGAGGTCGACGAAGGAAGGGAAAGGGGGAGAGGTCGGGATGGGAGTCGGGATAGAGAAGGAGGGCAAGAAAGAAGGGGGGGGATGGGAGTCGGGATACGGGAGAGGGAGAGGCGATGGAGGGAGAGGTAGGCGAAGGAAGGGAAGGGGGAGAGGTCGGGATGGGGATGGGGAGAGGTCGAGATGGGAGTTGCGAGTGGGGAGTTTTTTTTTTGGAAGCGCACACCATTGTGCCATGTGGCACACGGCGGAAAGGAGGAGGAGGGAGGAGGGATCTATGGAGGGAGAGGTCGGGATAGGGGAGAGGTAGAGGCGATAGAGGGAAGGGGGGAGGCGCTGAGAAGGGAGTCAGGATAGAGGAGGAGGGCAGGAAAGAAGGGGAGGCGGGAGAGGTCGGGGGTCGGGATAGGGGAGAGGTAGAGGCGATGGAGGAAAGGGGGGAGACGTTGGGATGGGAGTCAGGATAGAGGAGGGCAGGAACGAAGGGGAGGGGGAAAGGGTCGGGATGGGAGTCGGGATATGGGAGAGGGAACGACGGAAAGGAGGAGGAGGGAGGAGGGATCTATGGAGGGAGAGGTCGGGATAGGGGAGAGGTAGAGG